TTATATTGCAGCCACAGAAAGTTTTGCCACTAATAAGTACAGGCTCAGAATGTATGATTGGTGGAGGGGCCGCCTTTGCAGCGCTCCATCCAAGCCCTCGCCGACGCCAGTGAGGGTACATCATCGGGACGGGGATGCCCCATCGTTTGCAGTAATTATTGCTAACTTCCAGTTTGCACCCCTCCAAAAGTACCATGTGGGTACTATTTCTGATAGTAAAAATTAATAGCTGATTTGAGAGCTGGTACCCAACAGTGGCCTCCGTCACCCCTGCTCGATGCCAAAACTTTTCAGAAGAAATTGAAAATTTTTGGGAAAAATGGGATTAAGACGGCAAAATGTAGGAGGATTTTAAGTAGGACTGAGAAATGGGGAGATCATAAAAGAGAAGAAAAACTGGGGGAGGGAGGGAGGGGAGGTGCAAAGTTCATATGCGTCATGATGCTGTACCTTGGGTCCAATAGCCACCTAGCACCAATACCTGGCACTACCCATCCCGTTGCTGCACCCGAGCTTCATTCCTGATGGTGCATATGTGTCAGTTGCCACCATCCTACCCAAGCCACATTTCGTGGTGTTAGCTCTGTTGAAGCACACCCACCTACATAATTCCGCCCCAGTTTGTATGAAGCGGTAAGGAATCTCATGTTAGTTCTTGCACAACGTTCTGCAAAGTTATAGCGCTACACTACCAGCTCTTGGCGAAAGGCATACATCTACCCGCGGACATCATACCCAGTCCATGAATTCCTTACACCCTCATGGGGAGGGGCTAATCGCCCTTTACACCTCAGCTTTTCCCCAAAGATTTAATGCTGATTTGATATTTTGCTGAAAAATGACCAACCCGTGGGAGTTCTGACGATAACTAGGCCAGGCACTCAACACTGTCAACTCGAGGTACCACTTAATACATATAAATAGTGGTCGCCAAGAGGTGCTAACCAGCAACTTTTGTGCATAGATCTCCGCTTGGAAAATAAATATGTATAGATGGCTACTGTGGGGCTGTACTCTGTGTGACTGCAGACATTGAGCCTAAGTTGGACGGCACTTTCAGTCACGGCCCTGCTTTTCCTTTCGTATTTCTTTCGTTTGCATTGATGCCGATTTTTCTTGTGAATTATGAAGAGGAGAGGAGATTTTGAAGACTACATAAGTACCATCTTGTAACTTTGTTTCTTGCAGGCTGGGTAACAACGTGCGCAGTATTAGGGCACTATGGCGAAATACTGTCTAAGTAGGTTTAGTCTCTTCTAATATTAGTTGAGTCTAGTGCCACCACTTCTATTTCTAGAGAAAGCCAGCAAACGGCAGAGTTGTGCTAAAACGCTACAAGATAGAGAAGAAAGAAAGTACGAGAACACAACAGGAAAGTGAAAAAGGAGGCCAAGAAATTAGGTAAGCTTGTATTTTTTTGCTCATATATGTGGTTAATGGCAATGCTCGCTGCAAAGTAACGGGGTCTTCTTAGGCTCGATAACTCCGTGTAGTGAAGTTCTAGATTTATTCAGGTCACAAGAAGAAAAAAGAAAAAATTATCACTGTGCCGAAAGCGTGTCCTTTTAAAGAAGAGATTTTGGTTGAGGCCGAGAAAGCTCGAGAGCGAGTCAAGGCTGAAGCTGAAGCGAAGAAGGTAAGAGTTGTTCCTATTCTTTCTCTCTCTAGAATGAATATTGTATAACTCCTTGTCAGTCACGTAAAGGCAGTTGACACGATAATTTGGTACTCTGTCTAAAATGGCAGCAGGGGTTCTAAATCGTGGGGAAGTGGCGAAAAAGCCAAGTGTAACAGTCAGAAATTTGCAAAAAAGCCTTTGTTCTACACGACTCAGGAAGCACAGCATCACGCCCCTTCTCTCCCTTGAAGGGTAGGGGCATCAAGGATTGGTCGCACATTCATGGGCGGTGGGCGCAGTGGCGACCGGGTATGTTGTAGCTTGATAGGACGTTGTAAGGTTACCTTTTCTGGGAAAGGCTCCACGCAGCGCTTGCTCAGGCGCCTTCAGTCCTGCAAGGCGTATTAGTCCTACTGAGATTTATCGTGCCAACTGTCTTCAAAGGCAGAGCACGGCGTCAGATATCCTGGGTAGTGGTGCTTCATTGGTCAGACAGCACAGTCAAAAATGCCAAGGAAAGTCATTGGTGGAAAAAAACAACAAAAAGTGCCTCTAATCAAAACCCCAAGCTCATTCGTACGAGGAGGTGGAGTACAAAGAGTGCGACCGAACGAGATGACCGGGCGAGTGGAATGGTTGGTATTGATTGGTCTGCCGCGACTGATCCAGGCTGAAAAAAAAAAATTTTTTTTTTTTTTTCCTACTGAAATCAGTACCTCTGCCCATGTTCATGACTAGAGCGGCCTGCGGGGCCTATGAGAGAAACGGCGTCATCGGCATCGCTGGCCTCCTTACTGTCTCCTTGCGCCACAAAAATGGTGCAGGCGTTGCCTCTGCGAACGAGTTCACCTGCTTACGAAAAGAGAAGGGAACTTCACCAGGCATTGCCTTCAACAGCCCGTGAGATCCTATCGCTTTGGTGCAACAGTCGAGGGTAAGTTGTGCTTAAACTCTATTGTCGTGGCTGTTTTAAGTATACCATATGGGCACGGCACTATTCACCCTTTGCTACCCCCATCATCCGGAATCGAGCCAATTTTTGACCGACTTTCTCCGTGGGCAGACTTGGCTCATATGTTGTCTCCTGGTATAATTTGACGCTCCTGAATATTCGAAATATCGTATGGCCCCCGGGCCCCCTTCCCCGGGCCCCCCCCCCCCCCCACCCAACAAACCCCCCAATTCCCCCTTGACAAACCGCCCCCGCGGCCACAGGCGCCGGTGATTTGGGGTAATTTGGCGACGGCCGCTGTGGAGCGGGCATCAGGAGGTTTCGGGCCGAACGGATGTGATATTCGTCTTGAGGAGGTCGGACTACCCCTGTTTAATAGTTTTAAGTTTTCAGCGAATTTGGTGACTAGGGGTATTTTGGCGTCTGCGCCTGTGGGGCGAGCGCCAAGAGGTTTCGTGCCGAGCGAATATGATATTCATATTCTTGAGGTCAAATTACTTCGGGAAACAAATTTCTAGCCAATTCTACCGACGGAGAAAAAAGTCGGTCTAAAACCGGTCAGATTTCGGATGACGGGGCAGTAAAGGATAAAAGTGCCACCGTATAAAAGTGCTGAAGTGTCTCAGATCTCACTTTCTCGGTTTCTGAGTCCTGTCGATGCTAACAGGCTGAGTCATTGGCAAGATGTCATGATGACTCAGCCTCCGAGTACTAAAAGGTCTGGCATATGTTCTATTATGACCCAGCAAAGTGTTTTCAAACAATGAGATAACGTTTGATATTTTCTTGCTTCTTGTAATCCGCTTTCCTTCTAGCTGCCCTTTCAGGAGGCAGCTAAGCAAGCTCGTGCGGAGAAGCGAAAATGTCCAATACCAATTGACCTTCACGAGCTCTCCGCAAAAGCGGCCAGAGAGGTTAGTCCATAGTTTCTTGTATGATTTTCTGGCAAAAAAATTTAGTGATTTAGGGAGAAGCATTCGAAAAGCAAATGGAAGCGAAGAGTGCTGCCTCTGAATCATTCAATCCTTTGAACGACAAAACCGTAAAGGCATATGCTAGTGAAGTGCGAAAAATGATTGAGTCAGCGGATATCATAATCCAGGTGAGTAAATTAGGCGCTATAGTTCTATAGTTCTTCAGAGACGCTAACGTTCTGTGTCCCTTCCCTTGACCAAGACTTAGGCTCAGGGAGAATCATGTGTTCTCTGTAAGATTACCTTTTGTGAACAGTAGTCGTCTGCGCTCTAAGCACGAGCCATGGCTGCAGGTCAACCATCAAGTTGTTGTGGAACAGTTTCACGAGTTACGACCTCCCGGAATCTCTTCCTCTGGTATCTATTGCGCTCCCCTTTCACCATATTGCCTACCACCTTTTAAGCTTTGCCACATTTCGCCGTCCAAGTGAAAGGGGTTAAATGCTTTAGCTACCTCCGAAACAAGAAACAGGTTTGCGACGCCCCTACTAGATGACATTGTCCGAATGAGAAATGAAATTCAAAAATCCGAAGAATTTTTTGCATCTAAAGCTACCCCTCTCCATAGGCCAAGTACGTCCTCGTGGTGCTTCAGATGGCAGATAGCTACAAAATTCAAGGTCCCACAGAGCCCGCTTTGTGGGGAAGGGACCATTGCGCGCCCATTAGATCCTTCCAGCAGTGCTAGTTTCCTCCGAAGGCACGAAATGCTACGAACACTGTCCCTGCACCAGTTCTCCAAGTTTACAGTCTTTGTGTCGGAATATGCGAAGGAACGAGTGCAAGTCGCGTTAAAAAAGGGATCTTATCCGAAACCGAGAAGGGACAAACTTCGGTTCTCTGGACTATTACATATTAAGTGTTTGTAGTGGTAAATTTAGGTGACCTGTTCCGAATGTTCTACCTAGAGAGGGGCCGTAGATATTTTTATTCTTCTTTGAATCAACACTGGTGGTTTTTGAGATCATCATCTTAGGTTTTGGACGCTCGTGACCCGCTTGGAAGTCGAAGCAGTTCTGTTGAGCAACAAGTTATCAGCAGTGGTAAACGTCTTGTTCTTCTTCTAAATAAGGTATTTCAACTCAAACCTCCAGATTACACATTTTCTCCCATAATTTTCAACTTTCGTTGTTCAAATGTGCCGTATTGCCTTTCTGATTTGCTGCTTTGATTTCAGATCGACCTTGTTCCGAGGGAAAATGTTACAAAGTGGCTTACGTACTTGCGGGCCCAAATGCCGACAATTGCATTTAAAGCTAGCACTCAAGAACAGAACACCAACATCGTTCGTTTTCTTTTCGTAATTATTTCCA